TAAAAGTGCTTCTATGCTTAGTTCTTGTTGCGCGTAAGCACGTTTTACACGTGCGTTTAGCCTTCTAATGGTCGCCGTCACTAGCGTTGAGGAGGTTTTCAGGGCTTTTGAGGGCTTCAGAAGATTCCTAGAATGATACAGGGTAGTCTGTTGAGGCGATTTAACAGTATCAGCAGCGTTTGTGCATGGTGGAAATACAGCAGTGCAGGCGGGGTTTTTTTGCTTTTTGTTTTTTTAATCCACTGGTGTTTGAGTTTAGCATGCACTGGCAGCTCTGCTGGAGTATTGTAAGATAATCATAGTTTTGGGGAAGTTTGCTGTTTTAATTAAATGAGACCAGGGAAGGAAGCAAACTGAACAGTTGTTATTGAGGGGTTGGGGTGAGGTCTTTTAGATGATGAGGTAAATACAAGCATTGGTGCTAATCTATCATCTTGATTCTATGAAGCTTGAATGTATTTTTTTTATATATATATGGTTGCCTATATACCACCAGCAGTTACTGAAGCTGAGGCCTCAGATGCTGAGAGTTCAAAGCTACTGAAAGTTTGAAGAGGATTTAGTGAAGAGATGCATACGTGGTAAAAGCCAGAGTAGAATTCCTTAAATACACTGAGTTCCTTGAGTTTATATTCAGGGTTATGATAGACTAGAAGTATTTCAAGGAACTATAGTCTAGCAGATGAAGGTGGAGTGAACTCTGGTGACTGGATTTTGAATGGAAAAACATGTATTTAAAATGAGAAATACTTAAGAGTGAGAGTAGTTAACAGCTGGAAGCAAATGTCTAGGTCTCAGATAAATTTGATGGTTTTATGATGGTTTTTCTGTTAGAAATAATTTTCCTGAAGATACCAGGTTAGAACATTTGGGGATTTTTTTTGCGTGTGTGTTCTTGACTCAAGTAAATGTCTTAGTATGACTTGTTTAAACTTTTGCAAAGAATGGAATACAATGGCATGCAGAATGATTAGTAAGGAGATTGATATGAGAAATCGTAAGAGGTAAGAAATCTAAAGATAACATAATGAAGTACATTGAATGGGGGGCTGCTAGATTAAATTGTTAATGGTGCTTCTCTGTGTCTGGCCTTGGGATTGTGGCTCTGTGGGAGAATCATACTGAAATTCCATGAAGAAGTAGGTGGGAAGCAGAGACACTGTCAACACAGAAGTAGATTGGAATATCTCCTGAGAAGAACAGGAAGACTTTTCAGGAGCGTATTACTAGAAACAATTAATTAAATTGTACAGAATGCAAGGTCACGTGGAACTGGGAACTCAGAGCAAATTTGGAATTTGTTCCGGCTCTGTTTGGCAACAGGGGAAAG